TGGGTTGAATTGAACATTTTAGCAGGTTTAAGGGGTTTAAATGAAGTTTTTTTCATTTAGGGGATCCAATTGCACTATTCGTTTGACTTAGGGGGTCAATTTGACACTTTTCCCTATTTAATTTTATTCTTTGTCAAGAATTGACCTAGATACAACATGTGATAAAAAAAAAATGAAACTAAAATTAGTAATTGCACGTCGAGATGATAATATTAAGAAGTAAATTTAAAATGAGAGCATTTTGCATCACTCTTAATAATGTATATTACAAATAAATATTCGTGACTGGGTGTAACATTACTATAAAAAAAAATATTATTCAATTTTCCACATATATAAATAAATAAATGAACACACACACACACACACACACACACACACACACACACACACACACACACACATATATATATATATATATATATATATATATATATATATATATATATGTATATATATATATATATATATATATATAATCACAATAAAGGATTTTATATAATAACATTGCTAGTGTATGTCCATATACACAAACACAAATAAAAAACGATTATTTTTTACACAGAGCAATCAAATTTATAACTAAAGAACATAACTAAAGACAATCAAACCTAATAACAACCTACAATTTTAAAAAAATTAACTAATTGGACACAATTGCAATAAATTACAAATCAATTTCTCCATTTGAGATTTGTTCTACTCTTTTAGGAAGTTGATAATAACATTAAATGAATATTCTTTATTTTCATTGTTTCCATTGAATTGCATAAGCCTTATAAGAAATTAATCAAAGAAATAAATAAATTTTTTTAGCTTGCAAATATATATTCTAATGTTTAAATTCAGTACACATTACATTAAAATATTTATATTTATTATTTGTCAAGAATTGACCTAGATACAACATGTGATAAAAAAAAAATGAAACTAAAATTAGTAATTGCACGTCGAGATGATAATATTAAGAAGTAAATTTAAAATGAGAGCATTTTGCATCACTCTTAATAATGTATATTACAAATAAATATTCGTGACTGGGTGTAACATTACTATAAAAAAAAATATTATTCAATTTTCCACATATATAAATAAATAAATGAACACACACACACACACACACACACACACACACACACACACACACACACACACACACACACACATATATATATATATATATATATATATATATATATATGTATATATATATATATAATCACAATAAAGGATTTTATATAATAACATTGCTAGTGTATGTCCATATACACAAACACAAATAAAAAACGATTATTTTTTACACAGAGCAATCAAATTTATAACTAAAGAACATAACTAAAGACAATCAAAATTGACCTAATAACAACCTACAATTTTAAAAAAATTAACTAATTGGACGCAATTGCAATAAATTACAAATCAATTTCTCCATTTGAGATTTGTTCTACTCTTTTAGGAAGTTGATAATAACATTAAATGAATATTCTTTATTTTCATTGTTTCCATTGAATTGCATAAGCCTTATAAGAAATTAATCAAAGAAATAAATAAATTTTTTTAGCTTGCAAATATATATTCTAATGTTTAAATTCAGTACACATTACATTAAAATATTTATATTTATTATTTGTCAAGAATTGACCTAGATACAACATGTGACAAAAAAAAATGAAACTAAAATAAGTAATTGCACGTCAAGATGATAATACTAAGAAGTAAATTTAAAAGAGAGTATTTTTCATCACTCTTAATAATTTTTTTTTTAAAAAAACGACAAGATGGCCGCCGCCCACCCCGTCGTTTTATTTTTTTTTAATTTCTTTTTCAATTTTTAAAAATTATTTATTATAAATTATTTAAAAATTATTAAAAATGCCAACTTAGTTGTCACGAAAGACGGTAACCTGCTATCCGGTGAAATTGCATACCTTTGGAGTGTTCAGTGGCCAAATTCCACGTTTTTTGAGTGTTCAGTGGCCAAATTGCACCATTTTTTAGTGTTCAGTGGCCTAATTGCACTTTTTTTAATTTCGTTCGGTGGCCTAATTGCATTTTC